ATTTGTATCTGAAAGTGTTGTACACCTTTGTCTAGACTCCATTTGTATCTGAACGTGTTGTCCACCTTTGTGCAGACTCCATTTGTATCTGAAAGTGTTGTACACCTTTGTCTAGACTCCATTTGTATCTGAACGTGTTGTCCACCTTTGTCCAGACTCCATTTGTATCTGAACGTGATGTCCACCTTTGTCCAGACTCCATTTGTATCTGAAAGTGTTGTACACCTTTGTCTAGACTCCATTTGTATCTGAACGTGTTGTCCACCTTTGTGCAGACTCCATTTGTATCTGAACGTGTTGTCCACCTTTGTCCAGACTCCATTTGTATCTGAACGTGTTGTACACCTTTGTCCAGACTCCATTTGTATCTGAACGTGTTGTCCACCTTTGTCCAGACTCCATTTGTATCTGAACGTGTTGTACACCTTTGTCCAGACTCCATTTGTATCTGAACGTGTTGTCCACCTTTGTCCAGACTCCATTTGTATCTGAACGTGATGTCCACCTTTGTCCAGACTCCATTTGTATCTGAAAGTGTTGTACACCTTTGTCCAGACTCCATTTGTATCTGAACGTGTTGTCCACCTTTGTCCAGACTCCATTTGTATCTGAACGTGTTGTCCACCTTTGTCCAGACTCCATTTGTATCTGAACGTGTTGTCCACCTTTGTCTAGACTCCATTTGTATCTGAACGTGTTGTCCACCTTTGTCCAGACTCCATTTGTATCTGAACGTGTTGTCCACCTTTGTCCAGACTCCATTTGTATCTGAACGTGTTGTCCACCTTTGTCCAGACTCCATTTGTATCTGAACGTGTTGTCCACCTTTGTCCAGACTCCATTTGTATCTGAACGTGTTGTCCACCTTTGTCCAGACTCCATTTGTATCTGAACGTGTTGTCCACCTTTGTCCAGACTCCATTTGTATCTGAACGTGTTGTCCACCTTTGTCCAGACTCCATTTGTATCTGAACGTGTTGTCCACCTTTGTCCAGACGCCATTTGTCCAGCTGGTCGATACAGCCTTGACTGCTCCAGCACGTGCATTTGCCAGAACAAGAGTGAGCCGTGTCATGTCGCCACTGGTCTGTGTCCGTCTGTTTGTCCTGCTGGATACTGGGGTCAAGGCTGTCATTACGGTAAGTTTTGTTTTCGGTTTAAAATAAAGTTAACACATTTTATTGAGGTAATCCACTCAGAGGCTTAGCGAGTGGGGGGGGGGGGGGGGGCGGGGGGTACATATGTCCCTGGGCGCCGACCCTAGGGGGCGCCAAAATGGGTAGGAAAAAAATTAAACGCTCATTTTAGCTGCAGTTTTGCATTATAAATATAAAAAATATATGAGGGGGGGGGGCGCCATATTAAAAGTTTGTCCCGGGGGGAGGGGGCCCCAAATTGAAAGTTTGTCCCCGTGCGCCGGGAAGGGTCGCTACGCCTCTGAATCCACTGCAGTAAGATTAGTTTTATACGTTCTTACTTGCTGTTTTTCTTATCTAAGCTGTTCATTTTCAGTTAATATTTTGATATGCAGGCCTCAACGGTTAAATCTCAGATTTGCGTTCTTTTCGCTTATAGAACGGTGTTTCTTAAACTGCTTTTTAGTTCTTACATTTGTATTCTGTTACCTAAACTGGTCAATTTCAGAATGCCCTGAGGGCAGATGGGGCATCGGCTGCCTGCAGACCTGCAGTGAATCGTGTGAGGGTGGTCAGTGTGAGAAGACCTCTGGTGTGTGTACAAACGGCTGTGTGGGCTACACGTCACCCAACTGTTCACAAGGTCACGTGACTACTTGATTTATTTATTCTTACTAAAGTCTTCAGATTGGGGGTTTTTAAGCATACCCCCACCCTCATCCATTCTAGCTTTTTTTTTCACTAAAATAGGCATGTTCCATAGCATATTAACACCTGTCTCAAAATAATATATTTGAGAGTTGGTGTATTTGTGTGTTAACCAGAGTATGTGTATTTGTATGATAACCAGAGTTTGTGTATGTGTATGTTAACCAGAGTCGTTGTGTGTGAATGTTAACCACAGTTGTTGTGTGTGTATGTCAACCAGCGTTCGTGTATGTCAACCAGCGTTCGTGTATGTGTATGTTACCAATCTTTCCACAGCGTGCGAGCCGGGCTGGTATGGAATGAATTGTTCCTTGCCCTGTGACGACAACTGTGCTGATCAGTGCAACCACATAACCGGCAACTGTACTCTATGTAATAATGGTCTTCTATTTTTAAACATACATACACAGAATATTTTCTTTAGTTATTTGGTGAGTGTGTATGTGTGTATGTATGAAGAGTGTATTGAGGAAATAGAACTTGTATGTGCCATTTCGACAATTCTGACATACATGTAAGCTAGTATAGACAGATACGGATACACATGTAGAAAGTCAGAAACAAAAGCAATTAAATACTTATTCATATACACATTTGAAGACAGACACACACTCAAGTAGGCCCTTTATACAGAAACGGAAACAACCATAGAGAAACTATCTAAAAAGACAAATATTGAACCACTTGCTAATGTGAAAACTGCATGATCGTAAAGAATGGATGATGAATTGTTTCCATTGCCTAGATATTGACTAGCTCTGTTATAATGTGATCGTACACTGTTACAGCTCTGCGCTCCAGCGATACCACGTCTTCTACCAGTGTCAGTATCGGAATCGGTGTCGGTGTCTCTGTCTCTGTTGTAGTCCTCGTTTTGGTCGGTATTGGTATCGTGGTGTACTGCAAGAGGACAAAAACTCCAAACACCCACCTCCTAGATCATTTGTACCGTTTCAGGTATGCCTCAGGTGAGTTTCTAACGGGTGTAGTACCGTGAAATGTCTGCCTGTGCCTGTGATTGTGTCTATCTGTGTCTGTGTCGGTAACGCTAAACCGTTGGTGTGATCTTCTATATTTTTAAAAATGGATTTGTTACTGTCAAAAATTATTTTTATTATATTTTCTTTTGTTCGTAGGCCGCCTCTCACAAGAAAAAACTGCTCCTGGAAATGGGGGATATGACGATGGCAGTGCAAGAAATATTTATGCAATCAACACTGCTTCGTATGGGTGTGGATTCTCTGAAATATAACAAAACAACAGCGATAATATATAATTTATATTTCCTATAATCATTATGATTCACATTAATATCGGCTAAATATACTTATCTACTAGTTCGCAAACTGGCCTGTCAGTTCGCAAAATGACGTAACATACTTACTAATGTATAATATAGTGACCGAAACTGCGTTAAGTCACATCTACTGAATTCAAATCAATGATAGAAAAATATTTCCCTCGAGCGTCAGTCAGGTACGGGTCAAAACTGACCTTGGATGAAAGAAGTCGGGGTCTTTCAGGTGTGGTTCTTCCTTGGATGCTGTTACAAGTTAGGCGATAAACGTCACAGCAGACAATGCCCAAATTGATAACATCAGTAAGAGGGTAGTTTTTTTAATCATAGAAAATTGGAGTGTGAGGAAATAGTAATGCTACAAAAATAAAAAATAAAAAACTTAAAACTCATGCACCAACTAAAATATATAAATATATAAAATATATTTAAAAATATACAATGTTATATATAAAATATATAAAACAATATTGTATTCAAAGTTCATGTTTTTTTTCTGTTTTTTTTTAAAGAAATGTTTGGTTTTTTTTTAAATAAAACTATTTTTTCATTTCTTTTATTTCTTTTTTTTAATGTTTCCTCTTATATTGATATAACTACGTATAATCGGAAGAGAAAAATGTATTGTAGATAGACTAAATAGCGTTATAAATAGTAACTGTGACAATACGTAACATTTTGATCATAGCCTTGTAAATTATTAAATCTAATAATCTGCGAATATTTACCATGAATGTAAATAAAAATGTAATCGTGTACCATAACGTTATTAAAATGTAGAATAAAATCGATGTGTTTCCCATAAGACCCAGTTTTTGAATGGGACCACGTCTAGTGTTATTTTGTTATGTGATAAATCATTTCCCATAATACGCATTTCAAACTGCATTTTACATATCTTGACATGCTGTGTTTCACCCCGCTAACTGTGTGGACAAGACCAGACGATATTAATCGTGGCGGGACCTTTTATTCATGATGTAACACATTCAGGTGTTTTTCAGGAAAGCGAATTATATATTTTCTAGCAGTGTGGAAAAACCAGGAACAGGTACGAGAGATAAGAACGTATATCAAGAAAGGAGAGAGCTAAATTATTATATTTCCTCGGTCATAGTTTAAGGGTGTGCCATTATTAAAGATTTAAGTCGGTTGTTTCAAGAAGTTGCGGATTTCCGGCATATTCGGCGACTTACCCAAGATAAATGACGTAAAGAGTCAGGGTATCTTTTTGTAATACAGGTAAAACTTTACTACAAAAGTTTTCGGTTGTCTGTGTACTTTCGTTTTCTAGGCGGCAATATACGGTAGGTCTTTGTTTCATGACATTCTAATGTTAGTTTATTAAAATAAGTGTAGGCCTACTTATAGAATTTATAGATTTTAAGATTAGTCGGTGCATGTTGCGTTATTTAAAAATTACATGGATTTTTTTTTAATTATATTTATTGTTAAAGTATTTTAACTTAATTGTGAATAAAAAATGTTTAGATTAAATAGTAATTATCGGAAATACTTTTGAAACTTATGTTATTATTATTTTTAGTTTTATTATGATGTTAGTTTTGTCCGGTAGATGTACCTGCCTATATGACGTGTCATAGGTCAACCACACCACGGTTGATTGACTTTACTTAGTGTGGTCAGGCAAGTCTTCGTGATAAGACAGTAGTCCTTCTTTTGAATTTCTTACTTGACAGTTAACTGACCACTTCAATCAATCGAGAAAAGATATAAGATTGTATTTAGTTCACAACGTCCGTCTCGCTGTCTGTCTGTCGTTCTGTTTGTGGCAAATAAAAGTTTCCCTTTCGAACCTGACGGACTATGTGGCAAGTGAAGTAGAGTTTCTGTGACCTCGGCATATGAAGAGATAGTGTGGTCAGCACTATGCCCAGCCGTCTTTACTTTCCCTAACGAGAGTTAGGTACCCATCAGGGTTGGGTGGACTCAGGGACGGTCGACTGACTTGAACCGGATTCAAACTCTTGACTTACGGGTTAGCAGTCCAGCTCTCTACCACTAGACCACTCCGTCCCTATTTGTGGCAAATGTTGTAACTCAATTTTGACGAATTGTCTAATGCAGCGGTTTCGTGCAAACTTTCTAGACACACTCATCACCTTAAGATAACGCAAGAATAAAAAAAATATCTAATCTTAATAGGTATTAAATTATTTAACTATAAATTTAAAAAGAAAAGTGAGCGTAACACGTTAAATTACTAGCTATCGCCAGATAGACGTAAAGAAATGTTGTTAACTCTTTTACGCATCAGAGTTTCGCCCCGGGCATCTCTTCAAGGGGGGGAACAGAACCCCCCCCCCCCCCCCCGCCCGAAGAAAGTCTACCGCCCCCGAACGAAATGAAATTTATATAGAAAATATATACTTTTAACAGTGTTCGCCACCCCCCCCCCCCCCCGAAGAAAGTCTACCCCCCCCCCCCCCGAAAATTTAAAGTGCCCCCTCCCGGAGAAAAAGTCTGGAAGAAACATTGTTACGCATGGAAGCCGCCTTGGATATTGCAAAAGGGGCAGATAATTATCGTTTAGTTACTGATCAGACTTTAAGCAAATATTTGTTGTTCTAAAGTCTTAATTGTTTTAAAAACTTGAGTATCAACCTTAAGTATTATTTTTTGTTATAATAAATTCGTAGTTATTATAAAGTAGAAAACGAAACAGGTATTTAAAAAAAACCTACTGAAATTAATTTTAGTACTAGCAGTGGCTTATAATGTGTAAGGGGTCATCCATAAATGACGTCACGCTTTTTTGGACGATTTTTACCTCCCCCCTCCCCTCTATCACACATCGTCGCAAAAAGCCAACCCCCCCCCCCCCCTTAAAATGACGTCACGCTTTTTTGGACGATTTTTACCCCCCCCCCCCCTCCCCTCCGTCACACATCGTCGCAAAAAGCCAGAACCCCCCCCCCCCCCTAAAATAACGTCACAAAATTGCAGTTGAATTTTTCTTTAAACATCGATATTTTAAAAAAAATCTTGTCTGAACTCTGTCAACATAGAGTATTTTAATCAATTCCCATTGCAATTTATTAATTCAGTTTTCTAAAACGCGAAATAACGTCTAAAATTCGTTTTCTAACGTTGCTTTTTTATGATGCAAAAGTGTGACGTCGCACCATCTGACCCCCCCCCCTTCCCCTTCGTCACACATTTTCACATAATTACGGACCCCCCCCCCCCCCCTCCCCTGTGAGTGTGACGTCATTTATGGACGACCCCTAAGAGATTTCATGAGCGATCAAACTATTTTCCTAAACAAAGCGTATTTATTTTATTTTATTATTTTCAGTGCTTGTAAAAGAGTTTTATAAGAATTTTTTTTTATATTTGTTTGATGTAACTAGCATCGATAATTCTTGATTTTTCAGTGTAATCAACAAGACGTAAGGCCTTTCCTACCCTAAGAAATGGTTCAAATAGAGATGAAATGGTTTTATCTAATAGGAGTTTGCTGTACGATACCTACATCTACTTTAGGTAAGCTACACTCCATTGTAACATTAGCAACAGTTATACTAGCAATACCAGCATCACCGTGTAACATTCGCTGTAATACAAATAACTATTTGTGATCATTTAATAAACCGACGATGTGCTTTTATGCCATAATTATTTTTGTATGTAGCTATTGAAGAATTTAAAACAAGTAATTAAAAAAGTCTAGTGACAATTTTAGCGCAATTTCCTTATGTTATCTAAAAATAGCTCTGTCGTAGCGTAAATCAAGAGCAGGGTTAGTAAAACAATTGGTTAGTTATTAAAACGTTTTTTATTTTAAAAAATTTCAGTATTTTACATGTTTTATTTACAATAGAGTAACATGACTAAAAACCATTGCGCGCCTAGCTACCGAAGGTGATGTCGCAGCCATTGAACGTGATGGCGCAGCTATTGAACGTGATGACGCGTGTGGTGTGGTTGAATAAAATGCCTACTAATTCGGTCCAAATTTTAATTAATTCAAAAAAAATTTTGTGACCGAACGAAAGGATATTTTTGAAAACTTTCTTCGGCAATATTGTTCTAAATTATGACAGGAATCAATTGGTACATTTTCAAGTCGCAAAGTGGTCTGGTTGCCGAGATATGGGCCAAAAACGTCATTTTTTCGAGGTTTTTTGGCTTTTCTGGGAAATCCATGAAAGAAACCCGGAATTTTTATGGCCTATGTTCATCCTCGTAACTTGCTTAACAAAATTGCTTTGGAACTAGTCCTCGATATTGCTTCGTTGAGGAGGAGATACGACTTAAAGCTGCGGACACACATGCATCCATACATTCATTCATTCATCCATCCATTCCCAGAAATGACGAGTTAATAAACGCAATTCTCCAGAATGGAAATTGCGCTAAAAAATAAATAGTTGCCTAAATAGTCTCATAGTGAATGTTTAGTTTCTGTTTTTTTTTTCACATACTACTTGACTACATAGCTGCATCAGCTATTTAAACACTAGTTGACTTTATATAGCTGTATCACCTACTCACAGACTTTACCCTTACCTCTTCAGCTTGTGACATTGGCTGGTTCGGACCTAAGTGTGAGTACAAATGTCACTGTACCGACGGTCATTGTACCACAGCTGGACTGTGTGCCAACAACGTCGACTGTGCCAGGGGATGGTTTGGTCCCTTATGTCAGTACCGTAAGTTTTTTTTTTCAACAAAATTTTCAACTTCAATTAAACATCTAATTTCTTAATTAACTCTATTGACCATATGATATTAGCCGTACTAATAGAAATTTTAGCTCAGATAATTAAAACTGTATAGAGTATATTCACTTTCTCAGACAGTGTGTGTCTCTGAAGTCGTAGATTAATGACCGTTAGAATATGCTGAATGATATACCAATAGTACCTGCAGTTTGTCTTGCGAACCATGAGAACTAAAATCTGGATAATTGCAGGACATGTTCTCAGTCTTGGTGGGCAGGGTTTTAATGTGGTACGGGGTGTTAGGAGGGGGTGGTACTACTGGTGGTAGTGGGTGTTAGGAGGCGGTGGTACTACAGGTGTTAGTAGGTGTTAGGAGAGGGTGGTACTAGTGACCAGAGGCGTAGCGACCCTTCCCGGGGACAAACTTTCGAATTGCACCCACCTCCCTCAAGCTTTCGATTTGCATCCCCCTCAAACTTTCGATTTGCACCCCCCCCCCTCAAACTTTCAATTTATTTTTCCATTTTGGCGCCTCCTAAGGTCGGCGCCCGGGGTCATATGTAACCCCCCCCCCCCGCCCCCCAGCTCGATACGCCTCTGCTAGTGATGATGGTATCACGAGAGGGTGGTACTAATGGTGATGGTGTTACAAGAGGGTTGAACCACATAAAATAAAAAAAATATACGTGGGAAAATTATAACATCCGCAGAGGATCTTGTCAGCCTGGGAAGCATCGCACCCCCAATGTCAGGGGTCACATCGGTCAAGGTCACATCCGTCAGGGTCATGTGGTGGAGGCTATACCTGATACAATGGCTAAGATTACAGTTCCAAGAGATTGGTGAGTTTGTACCTGTATGACAACAATATCTTATTTTAACCTTTTCAAAATTAACCTGGCTAATTTAATTACCGCCATGGCTAATGAGTTCCTTTGTCTAATTAGACCAGCCGGATGTGTTTACCCTGCAGACAGGTGCAGGCCCTGCCAGCTTAAACTGTACACAGCTGAAGGTTTATCTCATCGATAATCGAACGATCGATCTCGTCTGTGATACTCAGGTGCCAGCAGCGGAGGTCAAGGTCACCTGGGCCCAGCCGAAACTGTTGAGAACCCTTTACATCAGTGGTGGTGAGTTTATTTGAGAACCATTCGTGTCAGTGGTGGTGAGTTTATTTGAGAACCCTTCATGCCAGTGGTGGTGAGTTTATTTGAGAACCATTCGTGTCAGTGGTGGTGAGTTTATTTGAGAACCATTCGTGTCAGTGGTGGTGAGTTTATTTGAGAACCCTTCATGTCAGTGGTGGTGAGTTTATTTGAGAACCCTTCATGCCAGTGGTGGTGAGTTTATTTGAGAACCCTTCATGTCAGTGGTGGTGAGTTTATTTGAGAACCCTTCATGTCAGTGGTGGTGAGTTTATTTGAGAACCCTTCATGTCAGTGGTGGTGAGTTTATTTGAGAACCCTTCATGTCAGTGGTGGTGAGTTTATTTGAGAACCCTTCATGTCAGTGGTGGTGAGTTTATTTGAGAACCCTTCATGTCAGTGGTGGTGAGTTTATTTGAGAACCCTTCATGTCAGTGGTGGTGAGTTTATTTGAGAACCCTTCATGCCAGTGGTGGTGAGTTTATTTGAGAACCATTCGTGTCAGTGGTGGTGAGTTTATTTGAGAACCCTTCATGTCAGTGGTGGTGAGTTTATTTGAGAACCCTTCATGTCAGTGGTGGTGAGTTTATTTGAGAACCCTTCATGTCAGTGGTGGTGAGTTTATTTGAGAACCCTTCATGTCAGTGGTGGTGAGTTTATTTGAGAACCCTTCATGTCAGTGGTGGTGAGTTTATTTGAGAACCCTTCATATCAGTGGTGGTGAGTTTATTTGAGAACCCTTCATGTCAGCGGTGGTGAGTTTATTTGAGAACCCTTCATGTCAGTGGTGGTGAGTTTATTTGAGAACCCTTTATATCAGTGGTGGTGAGTTTATTTGAGAACCCTTCATATCAGTGGTGGTGAGTTTATTTGAGAACCCTTCATATCAGTGGTGGTGAGTTTATTTGAGAACCCTTCATATCAGTGGTGGTGAGTTTATTTGAGAACCCTTCATATCAGTGGTGGTGAGTTTATTTGAGAACCCTTCATGTCAGTGGTGGTGATTTTTTTTGAGAACCCTTCACATCAGTGGTGGTGAGTTTATTTGAGAACCCTTCATGTCAGTGGTGGTGATTTTTTTTGAGAACCCTTCATATCAGATTGAATTAAATGCCCACGCAAAAAAAAACTAGCAAACGCTTTTAGCAGATAAACCTATCATTTATTTTTTTTTTATAGAATTGTATCTGCCACCTTATAAGTAAATCACTGAACTGAGCGATTGTCTTACGTAATGTAAATTTTACAATTTCGAACCTGGCGGTCTATGGGGCAGACGAAGTAGAGTTCACATGTTTCTGTATCCTTGGCATATGAAAGGATGGTACTATTTCTTTACTTACCATGACCTGTTAGGTACCATTCAGAGCTGAGTGGACTCTGCGACGGCCTACGGCCTCCAGCTTGAGAGTTTCGAGTTAACAGCACACTTTTCCGTCCCCTTACCTACTGTAGCTGGATATAAACTCGTGTTAGCTCCCTTCCCCCTGTCGAGCAGGTAGAAACGTGGCCTTGAAACAGACAGCTCAACTCACCAGCACGTACGACGACTTAACACTCGCCTCACACGCGGTGGACGGTAACACGAACACTAACTACATGGGACGTTCGTGCGTACACACCAGGGAATCTGACAGCAGCCCGGCCTTGACCCTGACCCTCTCACGGCCCTACCTGCTGACCAGGTACGAGGTGTACAACAGATACGACGGTGAGTGGAACTAGGTCATTGTGAAACTAGGTCATATGTGGTTAATAGGGGAACTGGTATACCATTGGTCATTTGGGAAACCATGTCACTTTAGTTTTTTGCTATACTAGGTCACTAGAGATTATAGGGATACTAGGTCAATTATTTAAGAGCTGAAATACATCTCTTTATAAAGGCAAATACAGCTGTAAGTGATAAATGTGCTAATAGGTATCAACGTATCCAACAGACATGTGTTGTCCTGAGCGACTGAAAGGTTTTGTCCTAAAGAGCTACAACGGCCAGACTCTGGTCTACACCTACACCGATGTTGCCAGGGACCCTCTGAGACAGTACACGATAGTCCCAAACAGGGGCGGTAATCCCGTCACTCGTGTCAACATAGCGGCCAACTACATCAACCCCGGCACGACGAGAAAAATCTTGTCGTTGTGTGAAGTGGAGTTGTTTGGGGGTACGTCACTGTTTTTATAAAGATGTTGATGTTGTGTGAAGTAGAGATGTATGGGGGTACGTATTTTAACATACCAGCTGTTTAGATATAATCTTAAATTTAAACAAAATCATATTGAAAAACTCTCAAAGGAAAACTGGTTTCTGTTTTTTTTTGTTTTGTTAAGATTTCGCAAAATAAAAATCCCTCATAAAACCACAGTAGACTTGTATCTGCACGTGTTGTCCACCTTTGTCCAGACTCCATTTGTATCTGAACGTGTTGTCCACCTTTGTCCAGACTCCATTTGTATCTGAACGTGTTGTCCACCTTTGTCCAGACTCCATTTAAATCTGAACGTGTTGTCCACTTTTGTCCAGACTCCATTTGTATCTGAACGTGTTGTCCACCTTTGTCCAGACTCCATTTGTATCTGAACGTGTTGTCCACTTTTGTCCAGACTCCATTTGTATCTGAACGTGTTGTCCACCTTTGTCCAGACTCCATTTGTATCTGAACGTGTTGTCCACCTTTGTCCAGACTCCATTTGTATCTGAACGTGTTGTCTACCTTTGTCCAGACTCCATTTGTATCTGAACGTGTTGTCCACCTTTGTCCAGACTCCATTTGTATCTGAACGTGTTGTCCACCTTTGTCCAGACTCCATTTGTATCTGAACGTGTTGTCCACCTTTGTCCTGACTCCATTTGTATCTGAACGTGTTGTCCACCTTTGTCCAGACTCCATTTGTATCTGAACGTGTTGTCCACCTTTGTCCAGACTCCATTTGTATCTGAACGTGTTGTCCACCTTTGTCCAGACTCCATTTGTATCTGAACGTGTTGTCCACCTTTGTCCAGACTCCATTTGTATCTGAACGTGTTGTCCACCTTTGTCCAGACTCCATTTGTATCTGAACGTGTTGTCCACCTTTGTCCAGACTCCATTTGTATCTGAACGTGTTGTCCACCTTTGTCCAGACTCCATTTGTATCTGAACGTGTTGTCCACCTTTGTCCAGACTCCATTTGTATCTGAACGTGTTGTCCACCTTTGTCCAGACTCCATTTGTATCTGAACGTGTTGTCCACCTTTGTCCAGACTCCATTTGTATCTGAACGTGTTGTCCACCTTTGTCCAGACTCCATTTGTATCTGAACGTGTTGTCCACCTTTGTCCAGACTCCATTTGTATCTGCACGTGTTGTCCACCTTTGTCCAGACTCCATTTGTATCTGAACGTGTTGTCCACCTTTGTCCAGACTCCATTTGTCCAGCTGGTCGATACGGCCTTGACTGCTCCAGCACGTGCATGTGCCAGAACAAGAGTGAGCCGTGTCATGTCGCCACTGGTCTGTGTCCGTCTGTTTGTCCTGCTGGATACTGGGGTCAAGGCTGCCGTTACGGTAAGGCGTTTGGTATTTGTTTTATCTCAATTCATATTCTATCGACTAGATCCACACCAATAAAACGGGAATAAGGGTATTCTTGTTCCTTGTTTGCCTCTGATTACATTACCCACAAAATCACGGCCCCTGTCTATTAAATTCAATGAAGCTAAACAATATTTGGGGACAAGAACAGACGTAAAGGAAATTTAAACTTTTTTTTCCCTATTATTTCGTCCAATTTATCAGTTCGAGTTGATTGAGACTGTTCTCTGGGATTTAGTGAACTTGTAAATTAAATCCTTGTACCCTACCACATTATTCCTTTATATGCCGAGGTCAAGAAACATATGAACTCCTCTTCATCTGCCCAATGGATCGTTAGGTCTTATACTGCTTGTTTGTTTGTTTTAATTTGTATAACCTACAAATGCTAATTGTGAAAATCATGTTTTCTATACTTCACATTTTCACAATGCAAATTCCCAAACAGCATATTTTTACAATGTAATACCTAAACTGCTTGTTATTTCAGAATGCCCTGATGGCAGATGGGGCATCGGCTGCCTGCAGACCTGCAGTGAATCGTGTGAGGGTGGTCAGTGTGAGAAGACCTCTGGTGTGTGTACACACGGCTGTGTGGGCTACACGTCACCCAACTGTTCACAAGGTCACGTATAACTGCCTGTCTGAAAACAGCACCATCAAGTTTTTTTGATAATATAATCTAGTTATGTATTCGTGTGTATCTAATATTCTTGTATTTGACTGATACTTATTTCCCCTCCAGTCTGTGAGCCAGCACCATCAAGTTCTATAATTTTGTTATTTACTCGTGTATTTCTAATTATTTGACTGATATTTATTTCCCCTCCAGTCTGTGAGCCAGCACCATCAAGTTCTATAATTTAGTTATTTACTCGTGTATTTCTAACTATTTAACTGATGATTATTTCCCCTCCAGTCTGTGAGCCAGGCTGGTATGGCTCCAACTGTTCCTTGTCCTGTGACGTCAACTGTAAAGACCCGTGTCATCACATTACAGGCTATTGTACTCTAGGTATGTATGGGGTCTATATGTATGTATGGGGTCTATATGTATGTATGGGTTCTATATGTATGTATGGATTCTATATGTATGTATGGATTCTATATGTATGTATGGATTCTATATGTATGTATGGGTTCTATATGTATGTATGGGTTCTATGTGTATGTATGGGTTCTATATGTAGGTATGGGTTCTATATGTATGTATGGGTTCTATATTTAGAATGTGTGTTCAGGTAGTAGATGTACTTTGATGAAGTGTGTGTGCGTGCTTGCGTGCGTGCGTGTGTGCGTGTGTGTGTCAAGTGTTTATCAAGCAAACCACAATTTAGAGTTATATTAATGCAAACGTTGACACAAACATACAGGCAGAGATGCAAATTATCACAGGGTCCTGGGTGCTTTGAGCATCGGGGGTCTGACCTTAAGGGGTTTGACCGAAGGGGGTTTGGCCATAGGGGTTTGGGATTTGACCATAGAGTGTTTGACAATAGGGGGTCTGACATTAGGGGTTTGACCATAGGGGATCTGACCTTAAGGGGTTTGACTGAGGGGGGTTTGACCACAGGGTGTTTGACCATAGGGGTTTGACCATTGGGGTTTGATCATAGGGCTTTGATCATAGGTGATTATACCATATGGGGTTGAGCATAGGTGGTTCGACCACAACGGGGTTTTGTCAACAGGTTTTTCATGTAGGTTTGAATAATAAACATTTTGTAGATGTACCGGTTGGTTTTGACAACGTTACCCACGTCCAGACCAGCAGCAACCCATCTGGATCGTGTTGTGATGGGGGTTGTGATCGCGGGAACGGATCCCATTTGGAAAGAGACGGATACCGTGGAGAGGATAAACAAACAGGTAGACGGCTGTGTTGACTTGTCACATCCTGGGACATTTTAGCATTGTTTTGTCATAATATTGGGATATTGTCAAATTGTTTTGTCACAATACTGAGACATTGTCAAATTGTTTTTTTTTTCAAAATGTGTGGACACTGTTACATTGTTTTGTCACATACTTGAATATCGTTTCATTGATTCGCCACAGTACTTGTAAGATTTGTTCCGTTGTTTGTAGTTTGAATACGTAAAAGCCAGAAAATTGCTTAGATTAAGATAATCGATATCTATTTTTACAGTCGATATCACGTCGACTTCGAGTATTGGAATCGGTATCGGAATTGCTGTAGCTGTCATCATAGTCTTCACCATTGGTATCGCGGTCTATTGTCGAAGAATTAAAACCTCGACCAAAAATGGAGGTGAGAAAAGTTCTGGAACTGTGTGCCTGCTAGAGCATCTTTGCCGCTTTATGTATGCCTTAGACGAAAGTTCTAGCGTCCTTGCTCTAATGGTGGTAGCTCCGCTGTAGTTCTAGAGCAAAGGGTGGCAGCGCCATTTTCAGGGCTTAAGGTAATAGCTCACCCCTCCCTCTTCCCTAAAGTTCTAAGGCAAAGGATGGTAGTGCCATTTTTAGGGCTAATGGTAATAGCTCACCCCTCCCTCTTCCCGAAAGTTCTAAGACAAAAGATGGCAGCGCCCTATTTTGGGGCTTATGGTAATAGCATGACACTCCCCATTCCTTAAAGTTCAAGGGCTAATTGTGGTAGCCCGACAAAGGTTAGGTGCAAATAGGTATCTCCAATAGAGTTCTAGGATAAAGGATTGAACGCCGTAGAAATCTAGAGATAAGGACTGTAGCCCCAATACATCTTAGTGTCCGATAGACTCTAAAGTACACGCTAGAGATAAGGACTGTAGCCCCAATACATCTTAGTGTCCGATAGACTCTAAAGTACATGCTAGAGATAAGGACTGTAGCCCCAATACATCTTAGTGTCCGATAGACTCTAAAGTACATGCTAGAGATAAGGACTGTAGTCCCAATAGATCTTAGTGTCCGATAGACTCTAAAGTACATGCTAGAGATAAGGACTGTAGTCCCAATAGATCTTAGTGTCCGATAGACTCTAAAGTACATGCTAGAGATAAGGACTGTAGCCCCAATACATCTTAGTGTCCGATAGACTCTAAAGTACATGCTAGAGATAAGGACTGTAGCCCCAATACATCTTAGTGTCCGATAGACTCTAAAGTACATGCTAGAGATAAGGACTGTAGTCCCAATAGATCTTAGTGTCCGATAGACTCTAAAGTACATGCTAGAGATAATGACTGTAGTCCCAATAGATCTTAGTGTCCGATAGACTCTAAAGTACACGCTAGAGATAAGGACTTTAACCCCAATAGATGTCTAAATAGAGTCCTAAGTACATGCTAGAGATAAGGACTGTCATGTGTAGATTAGGCGTCACTAGGTGGGGTGACATCAGGTTCGGTAACACCCCCAATAACAGCATACATTATGTACTAAATCTATTTGAACTTTGGTGCTATCAGTATCACAGATGGCGCTACTCTGTTAATGATTCATTTAATAGTTACGTGTAACACATTGTTTCTAGAGAAAGCATTTTCTCCATTTTTAGTTTTGGTGTCACCCTAATGGTGTCACTCAGCGAGGTCCGAACCTCCCGACTCCCCCTTGTGGTATCTAGTCCCACGTAACATTTAAAATCTATATATTTGGCTGTTAGAATCTTAATCATACTGATGTTAGACATAACTCCCTCCCCAAACCACATTTGTCTATTTCGTATCATAAAACCACATTGCGTGATCTGAGTTTTTTTTTAAAGTTAAAATAATGGTTACTGTTTAATGTGTGTGATGTATTTTTGTAGAGCATATCTGGTCGGAGACAGTCAGTAGTGAAAAGTTGAGGGATGAGATACGTCACGATGTTGGACACAGGACTGACCAGGCTAGAAGTGAGATCACGATGACCAACAAATGTGACGCCATTGATCCCAGTACAGGAAAAACAAACGAACTAATTGGGACCAGCGAAGATCGTGGATTCTCTGAAGTCTAGAATAAATATTAGTAGTTTCTTTTCATAGACGTATTTTAAAATGTACCGTATGTATTTCTGTCTATTCGAAGTTTCATGTCAAATCTTATGATTCAATTTGACCAGCTTTTTTTAAATGCATGAATTTTTTTTGATATGATTCCAGATAAACACATGAGTCAAATTTTTCCATCTAATTAATAATAAAATGAGTCATTAAAACGTAATTAAAAGATTACACCTACTTTATTAAATGAAATGGGAGATAACAGGAATAAGTGCCAGCGACTAGATCAACACATCAGTAAAATTGTTCAAAATAATAACACACAGGGCCTAGGTGTAGGTGTTTACTTTAATTTTTAGCGAGTTTTATTTAAAGATTTCTGATCGATTGAACACGTTCTCTTGTTATGTTGAATGATTAATGCTATACTAGTAGCTGTGATAACTTGCCTGTGATATTGAAGCTAATTATAACCAAGAGGCATCCTTACAAACAAACCTATCCAGCTTCTAACTTATAGGACGGCGTTGTCGGACTGTAGTGGGCACGACTGCTAACCAGAAAATCTCGGGCTCGTGGTCAAACCCCCTATGATCAAAACCCCTATGGCCAAAGCTCCGTTATGGTCAAAGCCCCGCTGTGGTCAAACCCCCTATGGTCAAACCCCCTATGGTCAAAGCTCCGCTGTGGTCAAACCCCCTATGGTCAAAGCACCTGTGGTCAAAGGTCCGCGCACCCTGTACGACGTTCTTGAGTCCACCCAGCTCTAATACGTACCTGACTCCGTCAAAAAAAATTGACTGTAAATATCCTATAAGGAAAATTATAACAACATTGCTGCTTTCTATGCTGATATTGGCGATCTTTATAATGTTGGTTTCTTGTATAATTTTGTATAATAAAAAGGTATATTATTTATCTTATTCAATCAACATTTTAAGAATTGAGTCTCCAAATTCATATTGTTGTATTTTATCGCCATACATAAATGTATTTTACACACAAAAAAAAGCTGGAAAAATTAAAACACCAAAGAAATGTCTTCACATTTTTTTAATAGTTTGATATGAGTATGAAATAATTGGAAAGGAATGCATGACGTATGTTGTATTTGATGTGAGTATGACTAAACTAAACAGTACGAAACACATATTTCAAAAAGCTTGATTCATGAGAACTAAAAATCGAATTTTCTTTAAAAAAGTAAAATCGGATTTTAAAGAAACTCAACAACTATTACATCAAGACTACACTTTTGCTGTAAAAAAAAAATGCTTCGTACATTAGACTATGTGCTTTTCTACGGCAGCGGTGGTCTGATGTAAATGTGAACTTAGTGTGTACAGCTAATCTCTACCATAACTATAGACGAAACCTTAAACCTGATAATAAACCTAACCCCAACCGTGTCTTGACCATAAACCTAACTGCGAAACATCAAAAGACGATATATTGATACCAATATGTTTTCTTCTAAAATATACTTTAAGAATTCATGTCAAAATAGAAGTCATAATGGAATTCTTAATGCAAGTCCTTGTTTAAGACATTATGTAAATTATGGAATCGTAGTGTACTATAGTGAAAAGAATCTGTTGATATTATATTGTCAATTAAGTTTGTCGATATTAGCAAAACAATTTTAACATAGTTAACGAAGGTTATCGGTCAGTCCACACCACACGTCAATATTTTAAATTAGACTTTTTATGTAACGTATCACAACATAACAATTTGACCTCGAATTTAGACATCAATGTTTACGAGAAGACCATCTATCCTGATATTAGTTGTTTTTTTTTTTAGTTTAAAATACAATTTCTATAAACTGGAAAATAAAACTGCTTCCTCTCGGTATTGAAAATGAAACTAATTGGAAATGGCTTGATCAAATTGTAAAGTTCACAGATATTCAAAACGTCTTAGTTCTGTTTCCGAATCAGGAAATAGATACGAAACTAATGTTTTGTTTATTATTTTTTCAACTACTAACTTTATAGCACGACAAACTCACCATTTACCCCACCAATCCCTGAAAAAATAACACTCATGGGGGGAGGGGGTGCACAGCGTCCATGAGGTCGCTTTGGGCGGGGGGTGGGGGTTTTATCCTATCAGTGTCCGCACCCCCGCCCCAGGAAATTTTAGTCCGCCAGCCCCCCCCCCCCCCCCCCCTTCCCCGGAAAAGAAATTTCTCATAACTTTTGTTTAACAAACCACTAGATTATCTTTGCTTGTTTCTTTTTTTATTCCTTTTTTTTTTAAAAAAAAGCAATTTAAAACAAAGTTGAAAGACTTGAATAATCAAACTTTACGTTAACTTAAAAAAGTTTACTATAACTTTACAGTAACTTTTATAAATATGGGACGGCGGTTGATTCGTTTTGTGATGATCAAACACAAAATTCGACATAATTGTACATATCAACTTGGCCTTCGAGTGAGGAATCTGGGAATAAACAACAACAAAACTAGTGTAGCATCTGTGATCAAAAGGGCAAGCAATGTGGTGGTCACTGTTTCTGTCTATGTCCAGCCAAGCGTATCGATGAAGTCATTGCGAGGAGCGATCGACATGGTTGAATGATTAGGCGATCAAACTTCAGGAGTTGGCTATGCCGCCAATCAATAGATTTGATGTGTGGTGGTCAGTGACGAATGACATGTTGACGACTGTGACGTCAACAAAAAATTAGTTTGATGTGCTTTGGCCTGTAACGAATACCATGTTGATGATCGTGACGTCGCCGAAATGTTTTTGTTAGATGTGCGGTGGTCAGCGACGAACGGCAAGATGGTGGCTGTGACGTCGTTGATGTCGAATTCTTTTATATGACCAGTGGCGTGCTGTCTACAACAATACACGTGCGATTGTCCAGTCCTCCTTCGCCCCTCTAACCCCCACCCCTCTCCCCCACCCCCGAAAAAGGCTAGAAACGGGTATATAAACACGTAACTTTGAATCGGAAAACATTTAATGCAAAGACTCTTGGATAAACCACATCAGCTCTAGCTAGAAACTCCCCATCAGATAGTCTCCGTATAGCAACGAGAATGTACAACTCACACATCAGACCAGACTTGAGGAGTGCCGTCAGGGTTCCAATCTCAGACAGTCACGTCATCAGCATCTCTGTCAACCGTCCTCGATATCGTGAGTACTTGTCAGGTGAGTTTATTTTATAATACACACTAAAAAATCTGGAGCATCCCAGATACCAGTGTTTTTTTTTAAGTGGACTCGTCTAAATAGAAAATCCTTCTGTTTAGTAGTAATATAGAATGTCTGTTTTAATTTAGTTTCACGGCTAGAAATTATTAGAGATGTGCAACGATTAGAGATATGATTAGTACTGACATTTCCAACTTGTATTAGCTCATAGTTTATTACCAGTTACCAAACACTACATTTTAATAATTACATTATTGTAGCATTACCGGTTTTAACAATTCCATAATTGTATAATTACCGGTTTTAATAATTCCATTATTGTAGCACTAGCAGTTTGTTTTTAATAATTCCATTATTGTAGCATTACCGGTTTTAATAATTCCATTATTGGATAATTACCGGTTTTTAATAATTCCATTATTGTAGCACTAGCAATTAGTTTTTAATAATTCCATTATTGTAGCATTACCGGTTTTAACAATTCCATTATTGTAGAATTACCGATTTTAATAATTCCATTATTGTAGCTTTACTGAACACTGGTATAGTGCAATACCTAAATGAAGCTCAACAGCTTATTGAGAAATATTTTCTTATTGTTATTATAAATCGTTCTTTAAAAAAAACAATATAAGTAAATTATAATAGAACTGTCTTTCATTACTTTGTCTTATCTTAGGTGGAATCGTTGAATTAACCAATGGTGTGTCTTGTATAGACCAGAGGTTTAACCTGGAACAATTCATTGACATCAAGCTACTGGGTGTTGAGGGGAACACAGAACAATGGCTGTGTAAGTATTCAACGCTTGGGATTTTATACCTTTTTGTCTGAAACACACATCTCTTGATCCCCAACATTGTGACAACTATGTTGTATTTGTTGGTATATAAATAGTGTCGCAATAAATCAACATAGACTTTGAAATATTACATCTTTAAAGTGGGAATTATGAATTTAAAAAAACAACTTAATATGCAGATAAATTTTTCGTCAAACATACGAGTTGCGTTTATTAGCCGTGTTTTAAATATGTGTTTAGGTTTCAATGAAAGTCTATATACATCAGCATTTACTTTAGTCTTTGTTTATGTAGTGTCTGCGTGTGCGCTTCTTTTGTCTTTTAGTTTTTCTGTCAGCGTTTATTTAGTTAGATGTATGTGTTAGTGTTCAGCTTAGTGTCTGTCTATGCTAGGGTTTTACAAAAGTGTCTATGTTAGTGTCTACCTTCGTGTCTACCGAGACTTGATTACATCATGTTTTGCCTGTCTAAGTGTCTACCTTTGTGTATAACTAGACTTGATTACAGCATGTTTTTACCTGTCTAAGTGTCTACCTTTGTGTATAACTAGACTTGATTACAGCATGTTGTTTATCTTATTTTTTTAGCTCTTACAAAGCCAATCGCCTTCTGTCAGAACGGCAAGGATGTATGGGCGGTAATCGTGTCAAGGGAGGACAAAATACAACCGGTTCCCTCCCCTTCTGTTTGCCAAGACTCCATGGTAAATATCTTACGTTTTACTTAATTAAAATGTATGAACTCGAATCAATAGATAAAACTATTTCTTTTAATTCAATTTGAACCTATGTGTTGTTTTATGTAAAACATAATTTAATGCAATATATTTATACAATAGTTTTAGTATTTTTTGTATAAATAGTTTTCTAAACATTGTCTTACAACATTGATTTCCTTTGCAATAACCTGTTGTTTATTATCTTTCAGGGTGACCAATGCAATGATCCACACATCTGTGATGCTGACTGCTGTGTCACAGAATGCCCATCTTTGGAGTTCCCTTCTTTACAAAACTGTGGCAGACATCCCAACATTGAGGCTTTGGATGGCGCATCAGTAGATGCACGGGCAAGCATTCCATCTGTCGATTCTCGCGCAATTGTGTCGATTATCAACAGCAATCTACGTGCGGAATCTCCACCATTTGTGCCCAAAATCGACAGCCATTTGCGGGCTGAAATTCCAGAATGTGTGCCCAAAATCAAAAGTAATCTACGGGCTGAATCGCCGGAGTTTGTTCCCAGAAGCCATAACAGTTTATTTCAGGAATCACCAGCCTTAGTGGCATTAGCCTCAAACATTGCTACAGCTGAATCATCATTAGACGGAACAGCGCCTGGGTATGAAAACAGCCTCACCATGCAGTCAAATAAACATGAAAGATCATCAAGACGCCAACACCTGCTGAGTAAATCCAGAGTTGTCTTTCTTAGAAAACTTTTAGACTCAACACAAGTTTAAAACAGGCAGAGTTTCAGAACATTCGTATTCAACGATTATTTCCCTTTGTTAAGCTGGATTATTAATTTAGTGTACATTGTCTAATATTGTCTACTACTTGATTGTAATAGAAAAATATGTTTGACTACACGTTAATAAAGACAGTTTATGCACAAATCTTTTACTGTAACATTTTTACTTTGAACTTTGTAACATTACATTACCAACATATGCTTGAATTTTATGTAAACCAACATGAGGTACACACTAAGCGAAATGTTTTACAGTTTCTACAACGTCTTAGTTGTTACTTTAATAATTGTGTTTATACTTAGCAGAAATATTTAAATATTTATCAAGCTAGACATAAAATGGACAAATATTTTCAATAGGCATAAAAAGATGTATGGGAGATAATCGTGTCAAGGGTGGACAAAATAAAAAGTTACACGGCATTAAAAAAAACTCCTATCAAATGCCATGTCAATCATGTACATATATAGATGTTGTCAGATGTCAGTTGGTTTTATACAACTTTTTTCTCCAATAAAATTAATGTTCCACATGATTTATATTCGAATTTTTTATTTTTTATTTTATTTC